CCCAACTTTCACTACCATACATTAAAGTAGGTACTAACACAGCATTGTGAATTGCCATACGTGCCTTTTTGGACACATTCTGACTTTTTATAATAGAGTGTAGAGCCCCATTCACTCTATTTCCTGCATACACTCGTCGTTCTATATCCTTATCATATCTACCATCCCTGCTAAACACACATCCCAAATATACAAACTCATCTACTTGCTCTACCAACTCCCCTTCTATTCTTATTTCACATATCGTTTTACTTTCTTCTCTTTCAAAAACCATAACTTTCGTCTTACTTGCGTGCACTTTCATTCCCTTTTCTTTTAATGTCCTGTTCATTAATGTAACCATCATTTGCAACTCGGCTGCCGACGATGCAAGTATGACTTGATCATCGGCGTACAAAAGGCATTTGACGGTTAACTCACCCATTCTTAACCCGCATTCTTCTACTTTCAAATTTTCCAAATAACTGTCCATAAATAGGTTCAACAACCACGGGGAAGCCACACAGCCCTGTCTGACACCTTTATGGATGCCAAACCAGTCCGAGTAGGCCCCGATGATCCTGACACAAGCACTAGAGTCCCTATATAGAGACTTCAATGCCTGTATCAGACCAGCGGTCAACCCAAATGAGTTCAGTGTTTGCCATACCACATCCCTGTCCACTCTGTCATAAGCCTTCTCCAAGTCTATGAACGCACAAAAAACTTTTTGGTTTTTAGCCAAAAACTTCTCCGCGATCATGCGCATGGAAAAGACCTGATTCGTACATCCCATTCCCTTTCTAAATCCCGCTTGCACATCCCAAATTTTTCCATTAATTTCTTTCATAATTCAATTAGTACCTTAGCATACAGTTTTCCCACAATGCTAAGAAGGCTGCAGTCCTGCTGTGATCCTTTTCCCTTATATATTGGGACTATCACGGCTTTGCACCAGTCTCCCGGTACCCGCTTAAGTTCCCAACATAAATTAAACAAAGTGTACAGCAGGTCTGCCACCACTCCTTCTCCAGCCCTTAGCATTTCGAGAGATACTCTATCATAACCGGCTGCCTTACCTGCTTTCATACTTTTCATTGCTTTCATTATTTCATCTATACTTATATCTCTATCTATTTCCTCTTCTTTCGTAATTTCTATTTCATTTAATACAAACGTCTCATCACTCATAAACACGCTTTCAAAGTATTCCTTTCATCTCCTTAAACTCAAAACTTCGTCATTCAGAATACAGCCATTCTGGTCTCGTATAGCATTCATTCTAGGCTGTTTTAAATGTCCCCTGGTAGTTCTTACGAGTTTCCAGAACATTTTAATGTTTGCCTGGAAGTTATCCGATATTCTTCTGTCATTCTTATCCGTTCTTTCTTGCTTTTTCCTTTCAACTACTTCTTTTACTCTCTTATTTAGGTGTCTATAAACTGCCTTTTTCCTTTCAATATCATCATTCATACTGCTAGAATTACTAGCCTTGGTTGCTAGTAAATCTAGCCATGCTTTATTCTTTGCTTCAACTTCCATCCGTACCTCATCATCCCACCATAACGTGTTATTTTTCCTTTCATTCGTTCTCTTACTTACACCACATACTTCGGTAGCTGCATCCACTAAACCTTTCTTGACATTATACCACACAGTCTCCAAGTCTAAATCATTCATACACAATTCAGCCATAACACTTATATTTTCTCTCAATCTACATTTGAAGTTCTCTTTCACACCTTCATCTTGTAACCTCTCTGTTCTTATACGCTGTAACGCAGTGGTAGACACAGATGTCCGATGCCTCCAACGTCTGAAAAGACCATTAATTCGGCATAAGACCAAGTAATGATCCGTCCCTACGTTAGAGCCCCGGTAAACCCTTGTATCTACCACCGCGCTCCTCATTCTTTCATCAACAATTATAAAATCTATCATACTTCTATCATCACCTCTTTCCCATGTATACGTGTGAATCTTCTTATGACGAAAGAAAGTGTTCGTCACAACAAGATTCTTTTCCACGCATACGGCGAGAAGGCTTTCACCATTCTCATTTATACTTTCATCACCAAACGTTCCCAATATCCTTTCATAACCAAGCCTCCTCACCCCAACCCTTCCATTAAAATCGCCTAATATCACAATATTTTCATTAACCTTGCATTTCATTAGCACCATCCTTACCAACTCCCAAAACTGCTCTCGGATATAAGTGGGCTTAGACATGTCTGGGGCGTAGACCCCTAAAACAAACAACTTCTTTAAGCCCACTTTCATTCGTATCCATAGCAGTCTCGGGCTTACACATTCATACTCTTTCACACAATGACCCATTCTTTCTGAAAGGATGATACCGACTCCTTGGCATGCCCGCTCGGTCTCGTCTACACCAGACCAGTACGCCGTATACATGCCATGTGTAGTGGCATCCTTTCCCTTCCGTTTCGTCTCATTTACACATAACACGTCTATTCCTCTATCATACTTCATCCATCTTATCATTCATTCCTCCACATACATTCAATGTAGCCAGACGGGCTTCCGCAATCCACTTTTCGCCCCTCCGGGGGACAGAACGTGACGGGTGGCGAACCTCGTCGCCGGTTTTCCTCCCGGAGATTCTTCGCACCCCTGCCCCATTAAAGGGGCGCCGGGAACTCGGGGCCATTTCGTAAATTTTTTGCCTCATGGTGCGAAAGTATGGTGTGGTATTTTTTACGCCGCACCACACGGCGAGGAGCCGAGTCTGTTCTTTCGGCTTTGTCGCTTGTTTAGCACCACCATAGGACACGTGTAGGGTGGGCCTAGGATTAGGTGGTCGAAGCCTATGGACGCGAGCGACTCATCCATTGTCCACTGACTACAGTACATATCCACTTTTCTTTTATTTTAAAAACGTTACCACTACACTAGATTTAGATATTTTCTCATGTATCGGGGAGGCAGTTTACAAACATAAATTGCACAAGGACAAACATCCTGACCAGGAACAAATATTTGCAGGGCATACAAATACTTGTTCCGTGCTGGATTCGAACCCTGGCCCATTGCTAAGCCACGGAGCCTATTACCATCAGATGGGGAGTAAGTACGTTTGTCACTTAATTTTTGTAAAAAGTATGAGAAACCTATTCACTTTTGTTATGATGTAGTAGCCTTTCCAACTATCGTTCTTCGGCTTATTAAATAAAAAAATTAACCAGATAAGGTTAATATTTACACATCGGGTCTCATTAGTAGCTAATTTCTACCGGTTGTCAGTTATCACTACCACCAATGATTAAGTCAAACAGGTTGCTAGCTCATAATGCAAAATTCTTTACAAATGATTTTGCTATTAAATCAAAATATAGATAAACCTGATATTGATTCGCTCAATCTTATTGTCGGTTCTAATAGTACTCATACTACAGTGATTGTTTCTAAAATGTGTACACTTGGGTCTTCTTTTGTTTGAACGCGCTTGTATCATCTTTGTAATCAGAATCTTTTAAGATTGTACACGTATTGGCCGTGAGTTTGTTCACTGATATTCAATAGTGTAGGATGCTACATGCGTGGACAATTTGGCGGCCAAGAGGCCTGAGGCCGCCAAATTGTCCACACACATATTATCAAATCTTAGGGGTACCTTGCTTAGAGCCAGTGCGGCATCAGCGGCAGCTATACTAAGTAAATGGACGAGTCTCTGAAAGATGTTTACATATTTGTACCATATGCTGTAAATACTATCGGTTCGTAGGGTCGACACTCGTAGGTCCACGACGTCGTCGCGTAAAGTATACGCAACGACGTCGCTGGTGACAAGATGGCTGGTTCTTTTCTCGCTCAAAGGCTATCTCGGTAAAGATCATTCAGCGAGGGAATACATTACACCGATGTAGGATTATGACAATTTTAGTTTTATTTTTTATTATTAAAATCTATAATAAGATGTAAATGTGAAGATAACTGTTTGTCACTTTTTACAAGGTACATTCAAATAATGTGCACAGTAGCTGCATTCTTTATTCATATGTCAGTAACACACAGAGAATTATTTTTAAAAGTAATAATAACATGAGCGGATGTTCAACTTGCTCTGTTGCTGATGCAATTAATCATTATCAGCAATAAATCGTAAGGCGTATCGTACTATACCTTCAGTTATAGCGTAGGCAAAATTCTACCACATACCGTAATACGTTCCGGTGATAACTACACAATAGCGTAACATGATGGATCTACTTACGTATGTAACATAATGAGGACAAAGCAGCTCTCCTCAATACTACCTTCTTATGATTATTACTGGTAGAATGACTGCGACGGAATCTTTTGACATGTTGCCTGTTTTGAACTTTAAATTAGTGAAACGAGTGGGAGTTTTGAGATCTATCCTCATTTCTGTTTGTCGCATTTGATTTTCTTCCCTCTGTCTTCGACACATAGAAAACTGAAGTGAGTACCCATGAATACTTGTAATTAACTTCAAATGTGGAAGCTTACAGATACAGGTAAAAGTGTTTTTAAACATGACAAAATATAACAATCATTCCGAGTATTGCAGGTCTTGGAATACGAGCACTTTTTGATTTTTGTTTCCTGGAGGCTTAATACGTGGTCAGAAATATTGTTACATATTATGCGTGTATATCAACCTAAAAATAATTATTTACTTGACGAGCCTGTCGTAAAGGCAATAAGAAATTATTAGCTTACTCGTGAATTGTATAATGCTATTTATCCACTGCTGTGAAAGAATGTTTATAAGTACATACTCAAGTAAATAAAAAACATAACTTATGAAAATTTTTTATAAAAAATTGGTAACATTAAATTGCATTATGTAACATGATAAATCTTGTAACAAATGCAACATTGTAAAAATTACATAATATATGAATTTAAATACAATCCCAGTATATTTAATATGAGCAATATTAAGAAACAGCAGAATTTAAGTAATTGTATTACATTTTATTCTTATAAATACCGTAATCACAATCTGACGAGTATAACATTCTTAAATGAGTTTATTGATTCATCACTTCGTGAAGTTTATCAGGAGCAAAAACTCCTTTTTCTGTTATTATTCCAGTAATTAGCGAAGCTGGAGTCACATCGAATGACGGATTCCAGCAATTGATCCCTGTAACATAATTGACATGAAGTTACACAACATAAACACACAACAATTATTAATATTTAATGAGGAATAATATATCTTTTGAACTAATTACATATAAAATTTTTGTTTAAGTTAAGCAATATTCTTTGCTTAGACTATATTTTAGTGCACTGTGGTGCCGTGTCCTAGAGATGATGATGTGTTTATTGTGAGGCAGAACTTGAGCCTTGTCAAGTTGCAAGTTGAACTGAACGTCACTAGATATTTCAAATGCGAGGATACCGAAAGGTGATGTGAAAGGTATGTCTTCTGAGAGTAAAGCTGGACTAGATCTAGCCGTATCCAATCCGAGACTGTTTAACAAAGACTAGCCTTCGGTAAATTGTCTAAGTTTGTCCCGGCATTCAACGATGTATCCCCGAGAAATAGTGGCACGGACGGCGTAAGAAGCATCGCCAGTGCTAACATCTGAAGCATGACCACGCCATTGGACTCTACTGCCTTTATCTATCTAAGAGTCAGGTAAACTGGAAGATCACCAGATGAGCGGTCTCTGACGGAAATATACACTAATCAGCTGTGGTCTCTCAAGGCTCGTGAGGTAGAGCTGGCAATTAGTTATGGCAGGACTATGTCTAGGGAGCTGGAGTACTGGAAAAGTAAAAAGTGGTGCCAACTCCGGAGCATAAAATATAAAATTGTGCATGTAGTTGTATTTGCATTTTATTTTTGTATTACATAATATATATATTTGCATACATAATAGTTACTTGATTAAATTAAAAATTTGAGACACATGGTCTACGGTTATGAATTTGTTCTTAGAAATGCAATAAGTTGTCGTCATTCATTAAAGCCTGCATCCTTTCTGCACCAATTGTGTTCAAAATCAATATATGAGAGTTCACATGGTCTATGAATAAGAATCATCTTCAGTACTGAAGAAAAGAATCTTTAGTACTGAAGAAAAGGGCTGCCATTTCAGAGAATTCTTGTTTATGAGACAATTCCTTTAAAATCGATATCTGAGCGTCCCATGTGGTCTGTAAATTCGATTCCAAAAGATTCCTTTAAAAATAAATATAGTCTTTAAAAATGGGTATACGAGGGCGGAACTGAAAATTTCGGGAATCAAGGAAGTGACACAACATTACTATTTAAAAATGTAATTATTGCTTTTCGAAGTATTCTCCGCGAAATTTGACACATTTTTCCATACAATGGAACCAATCATTGAAGCAACCATTCCATTCGGAAGTTGGGGTCTCCAAAATGGCCGTTTTGTAGGCGTCCACAGCTTCTTCAGGTGATGAAAATCTCTGTCCACGCAATTTATTCTTTATTTTAGGGAAAGTATAGAAATCATTAGGGCTTAGGTCGGGGCTGTACGGCGGATGGTCTAATAATTCTATGTTTTCTTGCTCTAAAAACTATTTTGTTCTGTGTGCGGTGTGAGAACTCGCATTGTCGTGATGGAGGATGATGCGGCGGTTGCAGTTTGCTTTACGGAGTTCAGAAACGACCTGTGGCAAACAAATGCTAGCATACCATTCTGCATTAACCGTTCTTTGTCCCTCAAGAGGAATAGTCGTAACATGGCCGGTTTTGGAGACAAACGTGGCCACCATTTTTTTTGCAACACTCCGTGAACGAACAATTTTTGTTGGCTTTAACTCATTTTCGAACACCCAAACTCGTGACTGGTTTTTTGTTTCGGGTTCGTACGCATATATCCAGGATTCGTCACCTGATACGATGTTGTATACAGCATTTGAGGATCCTGAGTGGAATCTTTCGAGAGTTCTGACGCACCAAGTAACGCGAGCCGCTTTTTGCTATTCACAGAGCGAATGCGGTATCCATCGGGAAAACAACTTTTTTACACCTAATTGTTCATGCAAGATTATTTGTATTTGACTCATGCCAATGTCTAAAGTTTCCTGAATTTCACGGTATGTCACATGTTGATCTTCCTCAATCAGCTTACGCACAGTATCAACCTTTTCTTGGGTGACTGCAGTTTTTGGACGACCTTGACGGGGATCATCACTGAGCTTGACACGTCCATGTTGAAATTCAGCAAACCAGCGATAAATTGTGGTTTTAGATGGGGCTTCATCACCAAATGCAGAAATCATCCGGTCAACACACTGTTTTTGTGTTAAACCACTTCGAAAGTCATAATAAATCATCGCTCTTGAATTTTCTCGAGTCAATTCCATTTTCTCAACGACTAAACAAGTTTGACAAAACCTTGTGACCAGACCGAGAATCTTTTTTTAAATAAATAAATGGTATTCGATTTTTAAAACCAAGGAGTTTTCAATTAAAAATATTTTAATATGACAGGAACAGTGGAAATATTCCATTCCCGATACTTTTAGTGCAGCCTATGTAATCTAGAGTCAGACCATAAAAATCAATATTTTTTTTTATAGGATAGGGTGACAAACGAGCACACAACCCACCTGATGGTTGCTGGTTGCCGATGACATCTACATCTATCCTCAATAAAGAATCAAACTGCAGATGCGTTGTCACCCGTGAGGATTAAGATGGAATCCCTCTTTTCCTGTAAAAAGGGTCTCCGGTTCTCTACACTCACCATACGAAACACAGCAGTGTTAAGCTGCTATTTTACGCTGGTATTCTGTAAGAGCACGGTCCTTCCCCGGTCGAGCCGACATCCACTAAAATTATTAAAAAAAGTTAAAAAAATTATAAAGTTATTGAGTTTTTCTGTCATAAAGTTTATATGCGGTAGAGCCACGCTGCAGCTATATTATGGTAGTAGCACGAATGGGTCGGCTCGACCGGGGTAGGACCATGCTCTCACTTGCCATGCCACACCATGCTTAATGCTGCTGTGTTTTGTATGGTGAGTGTAGAGATCCGGAGCCCCTTTTTACTGGAATGTATCTGCATTTTGAATCTTAATTGACGATAAATGTAGATGTCTATAGGCCACAGCATTCACTTACCATCAGGTGGACTGTGTGCTTGTTTGTGAACCTTATTATATAAAAAAAAGTTCTCAGCAGCAGCCCAGAGTCAGGAACTTGGTGGTGTTTGTGTTAAATTAATTCTAGAAGAAATTATTGTAGGGGAATTATCTAATAATTAATATTTGTAACCATCAAATTAGGTTCTATATTTGAAGAATATACTCTTTAATTTAAAACTTGCAAACAATATGATACAGGCACAGCATAAGAGTAGCAGCATCTGGGGCATACTGAATCTCATATTTATTAGAAAGAATTGATCTACAGTTCTAAAATAGTATATTGTTAATGTTATAATAATAGATTGTCATAAATATTTATGAATGTGGGTACTTGCATAATAATATTAATAAATTATGTTAATTAAGTCAACCAGTTTGTCATTAGTTTTGCTACCTAGCACAATACTCATGTTTACCTAAATTACGGTGTTTTATTGGATCTAACTGTTAAGTTACCTGGAGCTGCAATCCTAAATTCGCCAATGTGAGTCATTTCCTTATCAGGGCGCTCTTCTATTTTTATTCTGTCTCCTGATTTTAAGGACATATCAATTGATGTAAGAGGTGCAGCAACATAAAAAGGCACATTGTGATATTTAGCAACAATAGCAATTTGGTAAGTTCCAATTTTGTTTGCTGTGTCGCCGTTAGCAGCAACCTGAATAACATATTGAAAATTAATGAACAATCTGTAATATATTTGTACATTAATTGATACATGAATTTTGGTTTTGCCATATTGAGCGCAATTAAATGTAATGCACTAAGATAAGTAAAATACAGGGCTTTAGAGTTTGCTTCCCACTTTGCCGTGACTTGGTAACCCACTGTAGAGTTAAGAGGTTTCATCCCAAGTGGAATTGGCAAGGCATGTTAAAAACATTGGCGTGCTTTATAAAATTTCATATAGAAAAACGACCAAACAAATATCTTTCTTCTCTTCTTTAGGCTAGCTAGGAGAGAGGTTTTCCCAACAAATGGTAAATGTATAAATTACTTTTATATTGCCCATAGATTTCTACATCTTTCATCAAGTAAAAATCAAAATGCCAATGCATTGTCACCTCTGAGGACTAAGATGGAATGCCTCATTTCTAGTCAAAAGGGTGTCCGGTCCACTCTCGGTATACTTACCATATGAAATATAGCAGCATTAAGCTGCTATTTCACAATGGTATTCTGTGAAAGTGTGGTCTTTGGGCTCGTAGGCGTGATAGAGGAGGCAAAATGCTACAAATGTGACCCCCCATATGTATGGCCGAAAATGAACAGGTCTTGACATATACGGATTTACCCAGATTACCCAGATATTAATTTTTATTTAGAATTTAATTTCATATTAAATTCTAAATAAAAATAAAATCTTTTATTGTATGCTTTCTCCCTTAAGTTTATTTATTTTCTTGTTTTCTTGTTAATTAAAAATTGTGTACAGCCGATTTCAATATAAATTATTAAGAATAACTCAAAAACTATTGGTCTGACCTTGATCAAATTTATATGAGACCACATATGAAGTACCAGCTTTCAAATAAAAAAAGAATCATCGAAATCGGTTCACCTAGTGAAAAGTTATGAGATAACACACATAAAAAAACATACTGACGAATTGAGTACCGTCTCCTTTTTGAAGTCGGTAGAAAAGTACAAAAAGTATTCACAGTAAAAAATTATGGGTTTAATATTTTTTTTTCTATTTTTACACTTTAGAGACGTAAAAATATTTAAAAAAATATGGCCATTTAATCAGCTATCCAAAAAGGCAATAATATCCCTGTGAAATCAATGAATAATAATAATAAAAGGGTCTTTTACTTAACGCAAGTAGAGAACGGTAAAGAATGATTGCTCTTAGGAACGAACTTGCACACACGCACACTTTTAATCACTTGTCAAAATTTTTTAAGAAATATTCTATTGACAGATGAGTCCAAATTTGACCGAGATGGTGTTACAGACTACCATAACCTTCATTACTGGACACTGTAAGAGGACAAAAATCAAAAAAAAAAAAACTTAAAGAAACAACATCACAGCGCAGATTTTCTTTGAATATGTGGATGGTTATTGTAAATGACAAACTTCCGGTTACCTGTACGAGGGTGGCTAAATAGCCGATACCCAAACAGATGGATTGGGAGGGGAGGGCCAATTCCGTGGCCTGCACCAAGTCCTGATCTGAAGTCACTAGACTTCTACGTTATTATGGATATTATTACCTTTTTGGATAGCTGGTTAAATGGGCATATTTTTAGGGTTCCGTACCTCAAAAGGAAAAAACGGAACCCTTATAGGATCACTTTGTTGTCCGTCTGTCTGTCTGTCTATCAAGATCCTCTTTCTTAAGAACGCGTGGAGGTATAAGCTGAAATTCATATCAAATACTCAAGTCTACAACTTCAATAGCAACTTCAATACAGCTTGTATTGAAGAAGCGATCGAGCGGAACCAAGACTCCAGTCTTTGCCAGAGATCTGTCTGCCAGAAAGAGCCAACTGTCAAGGCTGAAGACCGAGTGTGACAGCATCGTTTCCGGGGCACCTGAGATTTTGAGTGAGATTGAGAGGTTCTATGGGCAGCTGTACACGTCATCGTTGGAGGCACACGCAAGTGCGAGTAACGATCCAAGAGCGAGTCTTATTCGACTCTATTCCGAAGATATCCCGGACGTCAGTCTGAGCGAGATTAGAATGGCTCTCCAGCACCTTAAAAACGGCAAGGCCCCAGGCGAGGATGGAATTACAGCGGAGCTTCTGAAAGCGGGTGGAAGACCGGTACTTGAAGTCCTTCAGAAGCTCTTTAATTCCGTCCTCCATGGTGGCATTACACCGGCGGCGTGGAGCAGAAGTGCGGTGTTCTTGTTCTTCAAGAAAGGTGACAACGCTCTCTTGAAGAGCTATAGACCGATTTCCCTTCTGAGCCGCGTAGTGTTTTCGAGAGTTATTACGAATCGTCTCGCGTGCAGACTTGACGACTTCCAGCCTCCCGAACAAGCCGGTTTCCGAAAGGGGTTTTAGCACCATAGACCACATACCCTTCGGCAAATTGTACAGAAGTCCGAAGAGTACAATTTGCCACTATGTCTGGCGTATGTGGACTATGAGAAAGCCTTTGATTCCGTCGAAATTTGAGCGGTGCTGCAGTATCTTCAGCGGTGCCAAGTTGACTGTCGGTATATCGAAGTGCTGAAGTGTTTGTACAGTAGAGCTACGATGGCTATCCGAGTACAGAACCAGAGTACGAAACCTATCCAATTGCAGAGAGGTGTAAGACAGGGTGATTTTATATCCCCGAAACTCTTCACCGCTGCATTGGAAGACGTTTTCAAGCTTCTGGACTAGAAAGGATACGGTATTAACATCAATGGCGAGTACATCACTCACCTTCGATTTGCCGACGATATAGTCCTTATGGCAGAATCGCTGGAGGACCTAAGTACCATGCTCAATGACCTCAATAGTGTCTCCCAACGAATAGGTCTTAGGATGAACATGGATAAAACAAAGATCATGTTTAATGTCCATGTCACACCTATACCGGTAGTTGTTGGGAGCACTAAGCTCGAAGTTGTTGACGAGTATGTTTACCTGGGACAAATAGTCCGACTAGGTAAGTCCAACTTCGACCGAGAGGTCAAACGACGGATTCAACTAGGCTGGGCAGCGTTCGGGAAACTACGACACATCTTCTCGTCAGACATACCTCAAAACCTTAAAACGAAATTGTACAACCAGTGCGTGTTGCCAGTGATGACTCACGGATCTGAGTGATCGTGGTCCTTCACTGCTGGCCGTATGAGGAAGCTCAGGGTCGCTCAGCGAGCTATGGAGAGGGCTATGCTCGGGGTTTCTCTGCGTGATAAACTTAGAAATGAGTATATCCGCAGTAGAACCAGAGTAACCGACATAGCCCAACGGATTAGTAAGCTGAAGTGGCAGTGGGCCGGCCAAATAGCTCGAAGAACCGACAACCGATGGGGAAGAAAGGTTCTATAGTGGCAGCCTCGTACCGGTAGGCGAAGTGTAGGGCGACCCCCCACGAGATGGAGTGACGACCTGGTAAGACATGCAGGAAGTCGATGGATGCAGGTGGCTCAGGACCGTGCTTTGTGGCATTCCTTGGGGGAGGCCTATGTTCAGCAGTGGACTTATGAAAGGCTGTAATGATGATGATGATGACTCAAATCTCAAGTCTACCGATTGCTTGCCTACACGACGACTTATCTACTTTTCTACCCTGGACAACGATTTTCTGCCTACTCGATTGACCTCTGCGCGCATTTCGAATTCGATTGCTTGCTTACACGACTTACCTTCTTTTCTACACCGGACGCTACGTGTGTAATATTGAAAATGTCTGATTCGGAGGAACCTCAGCCATCTACGAGTCGCGATTTTGACAGTGGCGAACCGCCAGTGAAACGCCATTTACATCTCGAGGAGGTGAAAACAATGTGGAATTTGGTCACTGTGTACCGAAAACTTGGCACACGTGAACAAGCTGTTGCTTTTGCTGAGGAAAAAGGTATGATCCCAGCAACAAAAATTTGTAGCCACCATAAAAAAGTATGTGTGTAGAATACTCCACCAATAGAATGGTGGGATTATTTGTCTGCAACCGAGGCCCATGCAGATCAAAGTCAAAAGTTAGCCGTGGCCAAGGCACTTGGTTTGAGAATGTCAAATTAACAATGACTCAAGTGTTTTACCTAATGTATTCATAATATGCAAATAAGTAGTTATGATATGACTCTAAAAGAAGATTATTCAGGAAGGGAACATTGTTTATCTAGAGCAACTATTAATGATTGGTTTAACTACTGTCGGTAGGCTGTCGTCATTTATGAAATAGAGAAACAAAGTTTGGAAAAAATTGGCCAAATTGATGAAAGTAAATTTGGAAAAAGGAAATATAATAAAGGTGAGTTATGGCTAAATGCATGCATATAGTTAACGACCTGGAGATGATAGAGGCTAATTTTTATCAATAAAATTTTAAACTAATACTTACTCTTGTTTTAGCCGGCACATTGAAGGTCATTGGGTGCTGGGCATGATCGAAAATGATAGTGATTTACGACTAGAAATTTGCCACCAAAATGTGCGATCTTCTGAAGTTTTAATGCCCTTGATTCAAAAACGTGGCTGAAGGCATCATCATCCATACTGATTTTTGGCGGGCTTATGATGGATTAGAAAATTATGGGTACATACACAAAAAGGTAAATCATAGTGACCCTGCTAACCCTTTTGTGGCAGCAGACGGCACCCACACTCAAAGAATTGAGTCTCAGTGTCGTATCGTCAAAAGGTATTTCACTAAAGACAATTATAATAATAGAGAAAATTTTACCGACTTATATATATGAATATTTATGGAGAAGAGAAATTATAAAGAATAAAAGAGATCCTTTTGAGGAATTAATAAAAATAATAAATTATGTTTACAGACAATAAAGAAATGATTATAATATACTGTGTTTTATTTCTGAATTGTTTAAAACTGCCCAGAAATACTTGAACACCCAGAAATACTTTCAGTTGTAATAGGTTAGAAGGTAGTGGCAGGAGCGAAGGCAACCTGACTATAGATAAGATATCTGATCTGATCGAATCTGTACTAAAATTAAACCAGCACACCCCGACTCCACATAGTCTTGTCTGCCCTACTCCTAGAGTGTTTTTGTAAAGCCGTAGGCGCGGAGGGAGAGCAGCCCCCGCCCGCGGTAGCAAATCGCAGGCACCCGTGCGAGCCCTAGCGGCTGAGGCTCGCACGGGTGCCTGTGATTCGCTACGCAAGGGCTGCATTTCCCGCAGCGCCGAAGCCGTTGTAGAAGTAACTTTAGGTCAATATTCCTGTGTAAATAAGTGAGGTTATGATTTTACAAAAAAAAAACATTATTCATAAACTATACTTTTCCACAACGAGGGAAAGGTAGAGCAGCTTTCCCTGATACATGAAATTGAGCATACTCCTGCTACCCTCTTCAACCCTCCTGCCAGAGATGATAAATGTTATTTTGAGGTTACGTCTATGGGATTTTCTTTTTCATTTTTCTTAAGAATGGTGTATTACCTTTTAATGGAAGTGGTGTCGGAAGTAAGGGGAAGCTCCCCCCATCCGCTGCCCCCCACCTCCTGCCAAACGATTCTAAGTTTCAACCCTTTTTGTACTTTTTATGATTGTATTCACTTGGTTGAAGCTTCAAGAAGATAAATAAACTTAAAGGAAAGCATACAAAAAAGGTTTATTTTTATTTAGAATTTAATACGAAATTCTGGGTGATTATTGAAAAATATTTAAAATTCGTATGTCTCAAGACCTATTCATTTTCGGCAATACACATGGGAATCAAATTTGTAGCATTTTGACTCCCCTATCACGCCCTGCCAGGAAGATGTCGATTTCCCAGTAACCCTGTATAATTAATGTATAAGAAAAATAGAACATAACATACCCTGTCGGCTCCTACAATCACTACACTTATTTTTTTTACATGCATGAGGGCTGCAACCATGCTATCAACAATAAGAGTGGCAGGAATCTTTTCATGAACTAGTTCATAAGCCGTAAGTCTCGCACCTTGATTATATGGCCGAGTTTCAGTACAGTAAACATGCTCTGGAATAAAATAAAATTTGTGACTAGAACATGTTTTATACAAACGGTAAGTATTAATTTGTAATAAAGCCTGTGTAAATGATAAAGCTTCTTATTTACAATTTTTCTATTCAAAAATGGTTATGCCATTAATAAAGTATTTCAGAAAACATTATGTTAAAGCTTGTCGGAATAATTTGCAAGAATGTTGTAAAAAGTACCTAGTCGTTTAGATTTATTAAGAGATCTGATGACTCCCAAGGCAGTTCCATAACCAGCTGTTGCTAAAGAACCAGTGTTGCAATGCGTAAGTACTCTTATGTCACCATCACCTTTCAGACTATTGAGAATAGCTTCACAACCAAAGTTGCCTATTGCTTTATTGTCTTCAATATCTTTGACAAGCATGTTTTCAATGAAACTGATGAATCTAAAAGTACATTAATGAAATTATTTGTACTAATATGACTAATGGAAAACCAAGGAAATATGAAGAGAAGCTACTTGAAATATACATAATACATAACACTCACACCTGTCACCCAGAGGGGTCAGGCAGAGACTATTTCCATTTGGCATGATCCTGACACACCTCTCTCGCTGACGCATTCATGCTCGCCGGTTAAGGATACTCTTAATCTGGCCCATCTTCAATATATCGCCAATTTGGTCAAAAAACTTTCATCTAGGGCATCTCTTCTCAACTGTGCAGTTTACTTCTGCAACATAGATTTGCTTTGTCACTTTCCTCATTCATTCTTTCTACATGTCCAAAGCACCAAAATATTCTTTTCTTAATCCTTGTCACAGCATCAACTTGCAAACCATACTTTTCTTTTATCACACAAATTCTCACCCTGTCATTCAGATTCAGCCCTAACATACTCCTTAATGACAAAATTTCTACAGCATTTATTTTACTCTTGTGTTTCTTCTCCCACATCTAACTTTCACTACCATACAGGTAGGGACTAACACAGCACTGTGATTTGCCATATGTGCCTTTTTTGACATATTATGACTTCCCATAATAGAATGTAGAGCCCCATTTACTCAATTTCCTGCATTCACTTGTTATTATATATCCTTATCATATCCACCATCCCTACTAAAACACATCCCATACACAAACTCATCCATTTGCTCAACCAACTTCTCTTCTATTCTTTTTTATTATTTCATATATCATTTTACTTTCTTCTTTATCAAAAACTATCACTTTTTAGAAATATATAATATATGAAAAGGAAAACTGTGAATATGACAAGGTATTAGTGCCTTCTTAGGAACACATTAAGTAGTAATAGGATAAATTACTTTGCAAGCTTTTATTCTGGATTCCAGGTCAAGATAGTTATGAATTAAACATTTATTATGTGAGAGTAAGTTTCATTTACCTTTCTTTAAAAGTATCGGCAGAAACAGTTTCATCAGCACTCAAAGTATTGGCTAAAGTTATTAATTCCTCTGCTGCCAATTTAATATTTACAGCTGTAGGCCTCGCTGAGACCAAGTAGTTTAGTTTGCCCTCAATCTGAGATTAATAATAAACATAAATTAATTTTGTTTTCATATCTTATTAAACTCCATCTAGCGTCCCCCCACTAGATGGAGTGACGACCTGGTAAGATATGCAGGAAGTCAATGGATGCAGATGGCTCAGGACCGTGCTTTGTGGCATTCTTTGGGGGAGGCCTATGTTCAGCAGTGGACTTGTGAAGGGCTGTAATGATGATGGTGATCTTATTAAAAAGATATATAGACAATTTCAATCATAAATAAAATCTCATAATAAATTCAATGGTAAATAATTTTACTTACTCACTGCTCTTACTGCTTACACAATGCAGTCTATATGTTGTAACTTTTTGTGTACTCTGGTTGTAACTAACATATGTTTTAAAAGGAAATTGGCACATTTTTATTCTGGATTATGTGAAGAGTAGGAATAGGTATAGGAATACCTGAATTGAAGATCACTAGGACCAGACACAAAGAATAAAAAAAAACATTTAAAATTAGCAGAACCAGGATTTCTTATATTTACCCACTGGTTTCTTGACTATGAGACTATCAATATAATGCTAGCAACAATATCTAATAAAAAGTGCATTAATATACCTCACCTCTTGCCTCATAACCTTTTTGTCAGAAGAATCATCTTTTAGCAATTCTATAGCAAGTGATAGGCAACCAACTATGGCTATTGCTGGTGCTCCCCTGACCTAAAATTATGACAGAGAAAAATTACACTTCATACCATAAAAATACATAACGCTAAAAATAAATGTGTAAATAGATATGTATTATTTTAGTTAAATGTACATTAACTATTATGTTATCTCTTACATATAATGAAATTAAGAGCAAATTATTTTTTCTTGATTTAACCTAGATTTCCCCTAACTAGCATAACTAAGATCAGATATTATGACTTTTTAGTTGAGGTGCATTTCAATATCAAGGGCATTTCAATGTAAATGGCCTTCCCATTTCAATATTAAGGGGTAGTTATTTTATTTATTTATTTAATAACACGACCTTTTTACATAAACTCATTTATTCCATGGCCCCAGAGCTAGTGTTAGTCTAAAGTCCTTCCAGTTTATATTAAACATAAATAGCTTTTAAAAACCAGAGATTAGTCCCATCATCAAACAAATAATCAACAAAACAATAACGTTGTTATACAACTTACCACAACAGCTTTTTTGAATTCACTGTTGTTTAAATAAGGTGGTGAAAACTTCACATGAACAGTTAAATAAAATTAATACTCTTATCTGCTTTTACCATACTTGTCAGGTAGATTGGGGAATGCAACACTAGTCTCTGGATTTGGTTCAGGTATTTCCAAATACATAGCTATAATTAAGTTCATTTTTAGGCTAGATATTTAAATCTAACCATAAAACAAAAGACTTTCCTGATGATTACAAATATTCTACCTGCATTTTATTTATGACTTTCCATCCGTCTTCAACACCCAGTACTTTAATATATCTAGTTTGTAATGGAAGCAATAACTGGTCTAGAATTTCTAAATTCCCTCTTTGATATTTTATTGATTCTAGAGACATTGTTTATATCAGACGAAAAGATTATAATTCGTCCAAATAGCAAGAAAATAAAAATAATGTCTTCTTTTCTAGGTATATACAATCCAAAATTAGTACTTTTAAGTTTAGAAAGTTCGATTTTGAGTTTATTATATTATGATCAAAAAATCTAAATTCGTTCAAAATTGAACAATTGTCAAATCAAAAATGTGGTCTAATGTCAACACTGTACTAGTCTTGGGTAGTTCGCGAACGACTTATGTGGGAAGAGCGTTCTTTTAGGTGAACTATGCGAACTAGTTCGTCGACAATCTCGCTCTTAGTTCTTTAATTATTTATTTTTTCTTGCGTCCGCTCTATTATGGAGTGGCACTGCATGGCTAACCGACTGATTTATTTTTATTCTTACCGTTCTTACCAGAGTTTCTTATTAAAGTTGTTCGCGCAAAACACTTTCAAGGATTGACGCGAGAGGGCGCTCGGCGCGGTGCATTCATACCGGTTTGACTTTCGGTCATGCGAAAAACGCCCAGGGCAGTCTGTCGTCTTTAATCGGTGCTGACGTGAGCACGCGGTCCATTCTGTTAGGGAACTCGGAATAATTAGGTGCGGCCCGTAAATATACGGTCTAGGATTTGTGACGCGCATTCCTGCTGGAGAGCTTCCCGGGACCGACTCAGAATCTGTATAAGTGCATTCGACAATATTAGCTAGTGCGGCCTCTGATATTCTAGAAATAACTGTTGCAACGCGAAACGGTAGTGACCTTTAATAAACTGTAAACTCCGTGTGCGTTTTGTGTGTTAACCTTATAACCAGCGATAGTTAGTGGCTTCTGTAAGTTAGTAAATCGTACGATAGAGTTAATTGACTGTCAACGTGACGAAAGAAGAAAGTGACTGTGGATAACCTCGAAAGGCCCCCTCAAGTTGGAGCGGTGTCGACGCTCGGGCTGCTGCCGACGGGCAAGGTCTAGGTTCAATCACCATCAGTCACACCCAGATACACATCACATCACTTATTTCCCTTTCACTACACAACCACATGTGACCTGACCGACTCCGGAGGGACCAGTCGCCTTGGATAGAGGTAAGTAAGCTTCGTCTAAATTCCTTCCGGTCGACTGGCCGTAGTATAACGCTCCCCCATATATTTTAGTGTAATTAGAGAGATTCCACGTGGCCACATTGAGGCCCGACCTACGTCTGTTCGGGAAGTCTTCAGCTCATGGGCCCCTGAGGATTGGATCCTTTAAGGTAGCAGCCGTAGGCCGTAACAAACTGGTAGCAGAGCGTGGTTCCGGGTTCGATTCCCCGGTCGATCCCGACCATAGTGTTTGATAAACATTAAACAATTCTGGTGGCAGGGAGCGTTGGTTTGATTGGTATAATTTGTATTTAAAATCACGCCCGTCCGTGATACGTAAAAATATTTTTTTGTACGTAATAATAGAATTATTTCCCTTTGTTCTTTGTTGCTTGCCTTTTTTTAGTTAGTGGGTAGATTTGAAATGCCGCGCCCCAGGTTGCGCAAACGGGAGTTTTCTAGAGATATACGTCATGTAGGTAGATGGTTATTTTTACGTAATCGGTTAATTATCGTTGTCGGATAGTTGTAGTGGATTACTTATCGAAGGGTCGATTTCCGAGCTAGGCATTTTTTGTTGATCGACCGTGATGTGTATCTTCGTTTATACTGTAAGTTGTATTTGAACTAAAGAGTAGTAATGGTATTTGCGCCATTTGAATTTAACTTGATTTGATCGCACTAGTATTTGTTATTTGTTAATTTGATTTGTGTCTTTTCTTTTGTGCTAACTTGTATTTGGTTGATACGTAGTAATTCGTATTTGTGTAATTTCTATTCAACGCGATTTGATAGGAACTGCATTTATTAACTGTTAATTTTTGTTGTATTTTTTGTTTGTTATCTTTGTAGTCTGTGCTCAAGCCGCGTCGTAATTTTGCATTTAATAGTGATGACATCGCCCAAGCTACTGATCCGTTGTTTGTGGACTGAGCTACGCTGGGCCACAAGCGCCCATGCTTTGATAGGTCGACCGGATAGGGTCCATAACTTGATGAAGCAGTTCGAGCAGGTGGATGCTCGAAGGGCCGCAGTGGAGGAGGCTTACGCTGAGCTCGAGGATTCGGATGTGGAGAAGGGAGTCCTGGACTCCTGCTTCGCGGACTATGAGCAGTTCTTGTGGCTCACGGACGAGTTGATCGAGGCTGAAGGCAGGTATGCCGAGGAGGCGCGTGAAGCTCGGATGAGTGACCTGTCCGAGTCCTCTCTGAAGCAGCTTCAGCGACAGCCTAGTGGACGCCCGGAGTGACTTGACCCCGAGCCAAAAGATGGTGTACCTCCTGGCCTCACTGGAGGGGGAGGCCCTGGGCGTTGTCGGCCACTTGAGATTGTCGGACGACGCCTACCAGACTGCTCGGGACCTCCTAGCCAGAAGATACGCCAACGTCCGGCGAATTGCGGACGAACATGTTAAGCAGCTTCTAAGCCTCCCGCTGCTTAGTGACCGGGCCAGACTGTGTCCGGACCTGTTGGATCCGGTCTTGGTGGCCTGTAATACGTTGAGGCGGCTGGGTTTACCAGTGGGCGAATGGGCTTTTTTGTTGCTCCGCATCGTGCTGTCCCGTCTACCTCTCGACCTTCGAATCCATTTTGAGGAGAGGTACGGCGGGGACGAGGCCTCCTATATTCCGCCCTTCTATGACCTGCTGCGGTTTTTGGAGGAGCAGTGCCGGCAGATAGAGAGCGCACTCAACAACTCAACATCAACAGCAGTCATCACTCATCAATGTCAAAAATTAATGCCATAGATATTTTTTTCATAATTGGTTTTACGACTCTACGTTCTAGCCCTTCTGAGCCTGAAGTTACAATGTATAATTATCCTTTATAGTACACTGCTTCACAAGGGTCAAATTGTGCAGCCCTTGCGAGATTTTGACAGCAGCTTGAGACAGTAGACGGCTGACAGTTGGCGATGGCGATGGTATCTCAAGACGCCTAAATAGAGGGATAACTTATTCACATGCGCCGACACTTAATACACAAAATCGCACCACTTTTACATATCAAAACCCACTTCAAACCATATTTTGAACAATAATACAGAAGCAGCAGCAAACTAACGCCGGTCAAGTTACCGTCATAACTCAATACCATAGATATTGTTGCTACGTTCAAAGAGGTTAGTTTATAGAATTATAATTAGAACTAGAAGGTTTACTTCGCAATAAGTACGGCCCAAAAAGAGAGGTCCTAATAAGTCACTTTATCTCTTTTTAAGTGGGTGTTCATAGTATAAAATAGTTTGGAACACCCAAAAACACACGCCTCACAAGCGTTTCATTTAATTTTTAATGAAAAAAGAAATGAAAATAGTGACGATAAATTTTATGAGAAAAAATAAACAGAGAAATCGACTCTCATTAATAAGTTTTAAATGGCGTTGAGTTCAATAACAAAAATCAATACGAATCCGCCTTAGAATTTATGGAATCTTATTTAATACTATATATCTCAATCTATTGCTTACATTTCTATAAAGCGAGAAGACTCACCGACGCACATAGTCCATATATTTTTTCAATTACATTTTTTGCTATGTAATCTAAAGTGAATAAATTAGAAAATAAACTTATCTTATAATGCAATGTCTGTAGTTATTGTAACAGTAATAATAGTATGGATTTGATGTCTAGCTAAAGTATAAGAACGATTTTATGTAGCGAAATTGAGTTATGGCCACATATCGAGAGTAGAGCACTCCCTCACGTTGTGAGGCGTGCGATAATAACGGACAAAATAGCAATTAAACTAACAAAATGTGTACCTAACCATTGTAATCGCCATCACCTCCTTGCTCTCCAAAATAATGGAGTCCATTATAAACTGCCAGCTTAAGAGGTACCTTGAGGATCACCAACTGATTAGTGGCCGCCAATACGGTTTTCATCGGGGTCGAACAGCTGGTGATCTTCTGATCTACCTGACTTATAGATGGGTGGAGGCATTAGAGTCCAAGGAGTAGACATTGGCCGTTAGTTTAGACATAGCGAAGGCCTTCGATCAGGTCTGGAATAAAGTCCTTTTACCGAAACTCCCTTCCTATGGACTACCCGAGAAATTGTGCAATTGGATCACCAGTTTCCTTGCTGATCGGAGCATCCAGGTTGCAGTAGATGGTGCATGCTCTTATTAGCAGCCTATTAACGCTGGTGTTCCACAAGGCTGCGAGCTATCACCAACGCTGTTTCTTCTGCATATCAAAGATTTGTTGCAAACTGGTAACATTCACTATGCAGACGATAGTACTGGTGATTCCTTATACACCGGTCGTGCCAATATTTCTCGGGAAAACGTCGCCGAGTACCGGGACAAACTTGTGTCTGAAGACAAGTTTTTGCTGAACAAAATCTCGGATTGGGGGCGACTAAATCTGGTCCAGTTCAATCCCCAGAAGACACAAGTTTGGGCGTTTACCGCTAAAAAGAACCCCTTTGTCTCATCTCCTCAGTTTCAATTTCAAGGCACTCCCCTTGCTGGCTGCCGTATGCTCATTTGCCCCATCTTCTGAAAAAAAATTTGGCTGGTAATAAATAAATATATTTTTTACCTGAATACGATAAAGTAGGGTATTGACTTTAGCAGCATATATGTATTATGTGTACTATATAATAAGTTTGTTCGTCTGTTCATTGATAACTCCAAATCAATAGAGTACTAGAGAGAAAATAAGCTCTCGAATTCTTACAATGCCTAGCTGTATTAAAAAAACTAAAATTAAAAAACCTTTACATTTTTCGAACAAATTGACTTCCCCATTATGAAATCTGTCAAATATTACATCTCCTTTTTAATTGGTGCCACCCTGGTGGCAGAAAAAGTCGTGGATACCCTTATTCCTAAAAGACCGGTCAAGTGTGAGTTCTCACGAACTAGGGTTCCGTGCAATCAAATTTGTGTAATATATTTGTATATTGTGATTATTTTAACTAGCCAGTTACAGTGGTAGTAGTAGGCAGCAGCCTATTACGGTTAACCAGATTCACGAATATCGACAATCGCTCACAGCTCACTCTTTGCTGGGACCGTTGCTTTTTCTTATATTTGTTAAGGACATTGAAACATGCTTTAAATTCTTAAGCATATTGTATTTTGCCGATGATATGAAATTGTTTTCCACAATCTTTTCTCAGAATGATTCTGAACTACTGCAGGAAGATCTAATAAAATTGAAGGAAAAGTGTGATACAAGCTTGATCTAAACCTATATAAATGTACCCTTATTACGTATTCCCGCAAACGTAACATAGTTCATTTCGGCTATCACCTGAAAGAGCAAAGTTACAAAAAGAATCTGATGTACGTGATATAGGGATTTTCCACGACTCTAAGTTATTATTCAAGCGTTAGGTTTTGTCATGTGTACTGCAAAGGAGTTTAATAAAATTAAAACTATTAAAATCTTGTTTTGTACTTACGTTCGCAGGACGCTTAAATATGCTTCGCAGATCTGGAATCCGATATACACCACATACATTTCACGGGTGGAAAGCATCCAACATAAGTTTATACGATATCTTTGCTAGCTATGTATCGGCAAGGCGGGCATTAAATCAAGATTTTTTGTGTCGTAATTAATTTGAAAACGTATTATGTAGTGCTTTTCTTTTCTTTTTGGCTAAAAATGCCTGATTCACTTATCAAATTTATGCGTGTTGTACATTTTAATTAGACAACATTTTTGGTGCTCGTATTTGTGGTATGTCCTTCAACGACGAAAGATTATAACTCTATGTCTATTAGTGAGAACCTGTTATTGGCTTCTTGTTATAAAACATGTTATTTACTTAAGATTTGTAAGCTGTTGATATTCCATCACATAAAAAAAAAAATATAATAATACTAGCTCGCCCGGCAGACGTTGTTCTGCCCTTTCCAAGGACCCTTCCTAATAAAATCCTTAAATTTGCAATAAAAAAATTTCAGGATCATTTAGCGGGATAAAATCTATCCTATCTCTCAAGTTGGACCAAAATGCACACAGTGTGCAAAACTTTATTGAAATCAGTTCAGTAGTTTAAGAGTCCATCGCGGACAAACAACGTGACACGTAATTTTTATATATAATATAATATATAAATTCAGCTCAGGGATTTATTTGCATGCTGTTAAGACATGAATAACTATTTTAATACCGACTGGCTTGTGATTCGAGTATAAGGTACGGAAACCTTGTCCAATCTTGACGGCTTTGTTAACGAGGTAGCCCGGTGCCAGAAAAAGTTACTTGATCGAAGGATTGCCATGTCCTACCCTACCCCTTTCTTCAAACTTCAGATTATCCTTTAATATTTCAACGTAACTTGTCTATTCTCCCAGTCCAGGATCTTCTCGTTAGTCCAATGGTGGCGTGCGTTAAACCGTAGCTAGGAATAGCGAGGCTACCGAAGACGGGAAAGTTTCTCTATTTTTTAGTTCTCGTAATCCAACCACACCCCCCCCCCCCCCCTACTAGATGCAGGAAGTCGATGGATTCAGGTAGCTCAGGACCGAACTTTGTGATATTCCGTGGAGAGAACTATGTTCGGCAGTGGACTTGTAATGGGCCTTAATAATTATGATAATGGTGAAATATCCACTACCCCACATCTTCCCGTGGGCGTCGTAAGAGGCGACAGTGGGAAACAGGCAGGAGATGGGCAGCAGCATCTTTCTGATAACAGCAAAATTACAATAAAAAAACTGCGGTTGCCAACCCGCTCGCCAAGCGTGGCAACTATGGAAAATACCCCCCATTATGAGAGTAACAAAGAAACGGCCCCCAGTCCCCGGCGGCTCCGCTATTCTTGGCTACGGTGGTGACTATGGTAGCGGCAGGGCAGAGGGTGCTACGAAGGTTTGGTTGCCACCTAAGACGACTCGACCTGGCAACATACAACGCACGTACCCTGAGGACTGACGAGAAGATCGTGGAACTAGAAGAAGAGATAGACAAGTTACGCTGGCATATTATAGGATTTTCCGATGTCCGAAGGAAGGGGGAGGACACGGTAATCCTCGAATCCGGCAACTTGCTCTATCACCGGGAGGGTGACCATATGTCCCAAGGAGGTGTCGGATTTATCGTCCACAAGTTTCTCGTTAACAACGTTGTAAAGATTGAGAGTGTGTCAACTTATACTCAGAATCACCAAACGGTATTCGCTGAAGGTCATACAAGTTTACGCACCAACCTCGGCACATCCCAATGAGGAGGTGGAGTAAATGTATGAGGATATCTCTAGAGCAATGCATTCCTCCATAACCCACTATACGGTGTTAATGGGAGACTTCAATGCAAAACTAGGCACAACAGAAAACGGTGAGCTGAAAGTAGGGAAATTTGGAATAGGGCAACAGAACCCAAGGGGCCAGCAGCTGGGCGACTTCATGGAGAAAGAGAGACTCTTTATGATGAACTCTTTCTTCCAGAAGCGGCCCCACAGGAATTGGACCTGGTCGAGCCCTGACGGTTCCACAAAAAATGAAATTAACTTCATTATGACGACCAGACTACAACTGTTCAGTGATGTCTCAGTGATTGCGAGGGTGAAAATTGGTAGCAATCTCCGAATGGTTAGAGAAACTCTGAACCTAAACATTAAGTTGGAGAGGTCTCGTCTAATGAATTCAATGCTCCGTCCCCCTCGTACTCTATTCCAAGGTCCTGAAACCTTTCAGCTCGAGTTACAAAACCGTTTTCAGTGCCTAGAAGACTGCAATGAAGTGGACGATATGAATGACAAGCTCGTGGAAACTGTCCATGCGGTCGGAGCTAAGTTCTGCAAGACCCGATATATATTTATCTATGATATTTACCTAGTAGAAATAGTCCGACTAGATAAGTCAAACTTCGACCGAGAGGTCAATCGACGGATTCAACTCGGCTGGGCAGCGTTCGGGAAACTACGATACATCTTCTCGTCACGTAGGTATACCTCAAAACTTGTAAACGAAATTGTACAACCAGTGCGTGTTGCCAGTGATGACTTATGGATCTGAGACGTGGTCCTTCACTGCTGGCCGTATGAGGAAGCTCAAGATTGCTCAGCGAGCTACAAAGAGGGCTATGCCCGGGGTTTCTCTGCGTGACATGCTTAGAAATGAAGATATCCGCAGTAGAAACAGAGTAACCGACGTAGCCCAACGTATTAGTAAGCTGAAGTTGCAGTGGGCCGGCCATATAGCTCGAAGAACCGACAACCGATGGGGAAGAAAGGTTCTCGAGTGGCAGCCTGGTACCGTTAGGCTGTCTAGGGCGACCCCCCACTAGATGGAGTGACGACCTGGTAAGACATGCAGGAAGTCGATGGATGCAGGTGGCTCAGGACCGTGCTTTGTGGCATTCCTTGGGGGAGGCCTATGTTCAGCAGTGGACTTATGAAGGGCTGTAATGATGATGATGATGATGATGAACAATATGTGTTGGTGTCGATCCTTGTGTAGAGAAGAGTGGGAACCATCGGCCAGTCTTTTTTACAAAATATGGATGGCTTTTTTTTGAGATAATCAAATATTTATTCGCTGAAACAATAGCATAATGTATAAATAATTTGATTTGAAGTGTAAACGCTGAGTCTTAGACCCTGGGTTAAATGGTCTAAGCATTGAACTTGCCCAGAACTAGACTGGTATACAGTAATCTGTGCCCAGAACTGTGGTAGGAAACCATTGACTATATAATATATATTCTTTACGTTTTAGTAGGAAACGATTATTTATGTTTATCTATGACCTTCTTAACTTCCGCCCGGCATTGTCGTGAGACGCTTCGTCATTGCGCTCCGATTCTAGAATTGCTAGATATTTGCGAAAACCAAGAAAATGTCCTTACCACGGGTTTACATGGATGTTACTGCTGATGGCACTGTTCTAGGAAGAATTGTTATTGAGGTAAGATATTATAATAATAAATAAATCTGTACTTTGTCATTGCGACCGGCGTGATTCACTTCCTAACCACGCTTTTTCTCTAAACGATTATTTTTGCGTTAGGCCTTATTTTTTCAATATGTACTTTTATTTCGTCTATAGCATTCCATGCAATGCCCAACAACTATTGGCTATAATTATCTTTGATGACTTCGTTAACTTCCTATGAAATGAAAACGGCTGTGTGTATGTGTGTGTGCTTAACTAGTTATGCCTGTGTTGTCTCAATTAACTTTGACCGAGATTGTTTTGTGAAGGTCACATCCTCCGAAGGCGTCTTCAATTATTATAAGAAAGTTAAAAATTATAGGTATATCTACATACCTATATTATTATTGTTAAAGCCTCAACGCCCGTTTTCTTTTAAATCTTCGTTGCGTCTGGTTGTCTTACTATGTTCATTTTTATGGTTATAATTTGATTGGGAGATTTGTTGTTGTGTACTTTCACACATTTTACAAATGTCTGATTAAAAGTAATTCTAATTTAAGTCTTATACACCTGTAATTCGACAACTTTTGATGCCTGACTAACCTGACTCATGGCGGAAAATTATTAGAAAGACTTAATATGTTTAGCAGTGGGCTGAAAAGTGTTGATGATTATGATTCATTAATACATAATATACAATCCTAGTGAAATTCCACTGCTGTACATGGACATGACATTGATAGACAGTTAACACTTTATTGTATGCTAAAAATATATAAGTATGAAAAAAAGGAGAAAAAAGAAATGTGGTACAATGGGCGGTCTTAACAAGGTTGCAAGGAAACTAATATTATAAACGTGTGGTTTGGCAATAATAATATTATTTTAGTATAAACCATAAAATAGTAATATAAATTTGATAATATATGAATACATAGATATGAAAAATACATTCGTACATAAATATGTTTATAATATATATATTAAACCATATATAACATAAATGTGTGATATATATATATATACAAATGATATAAATAGATAATAAATATAAAAATAGTGATTTTGATATAATCAAAATAAAATTCGAAATTTTGTAGACGTTTCTTAATAACCGGTAGAAATTGAGAGAGATTGGGTAGTGGATTCTATTACTTTGCTACTACACAGCCTCTTATTGCATTCAAAGTTAATGATTATGATAAATCAAACTTTAAAATATACTATTTCAATGTATCGTGGATTTCGGGTATAACGACGATTTTCGTCGTTATATCTGGAAGTTGTTACAGGCATAGGTAACAAATTTAATACATTACAGTTGCTACTCAGAATATCACTTTGTATCTGAACCATAAATTTAACTCTGAAACGTACAGGCTTCCCTACCTACTTAGCTGATATCTATAAACCACCCTACCTACTTAGCTGATATCTATAAACAAAAGGTAAAGGTCTCCACACTTGCTGACCATCTGTGTGGATGTAAACAAAAGATAAGAAATTGTTCCAAATGATTCATTAAAAACAGTCCCTATACCCGAACTCGGCCTTACATCCAAAGTCGCTATAGCCACATGAATTTTGTACTAAAATATGCTTTAAATTCAAGGGACTTCGTTTTAACGTTGCTATAGGTAAATGGTCGCTACAACCAAGTTCGTAATAAATGAAATCCACTGTATATTTTATTTACTATTTATGAAGTAAATAAAAAAATATTTTTTTAGTTCTTTATACATTCTTTAAATGATTATAATATTTCAATCTTATATTTTTCCTTTTCAGTTGAGAACAGATGTTACCCCCAAGACTTGTGAAAATTTCCGTGCCCTCTGTACTGGTGAAAAAGGTTTTGGATACAAAGGCTCCACTTTCCACCGTGTTATCCCCAACTTCATGTTGCAAGGAGGTGACTTTACAAACCATAATGGCACTGGTGGCAAGTCTATCTTTGGTGAGAAGTTTGCTGATGAGAACTTTGTTTTGAAGCACACTGGCCCAGGTGTGCTCTCTATGGCTAATGCTGGCCCTAACACTAATGGCTCTCAGTTCTTTATTACTACTGTGAAGACATCGTGGCTGGATGGAAGACATGTGGTCTTTGGAAATGTAGTGGAGGGCATGGATGTTGTGAAACAAGTTGAAGCCCTGGGTTCCCAATCTGGCAAACCCTCCAAGAAAGTTGTAATTGCTGATTGTGGTCAGCTTTCCTAAGCCAATTCTGTAATATTTATATAAATGGAATGCAATATTTTAAGTTTAATGTAATGTTCTCACAACTATTACCTTCCCACTCGTAAAGATTTAACATTTCAAAGTTATGAATGGTTCATTCCAGTTATGTTATAAATTTATAACTTTGTTTTAGGTTGCAACCTAGCAATTGCATTTATTACTGTGCATTGTTTTATTCATAATAAATTAACTTATATATGTACTTGTTTGCATTTTCAATTTGATAATGTGATCTTAAATCACTCTAAAGTAACCCAATAGGAAAATTTATTTATTAATTTACGGGACTGCCTTTATTATTGCTGAATGCTTACATTTTGTATTTCGTTTTTCTACTGTTATAATATATTTGGTCTCTACACTACAAGCGTCACTTACCAATAAAGTTTATATTATGAAGGTAATTTCTCTTTACTTTATTATTTAATATTTCCTGCAGAGTAAAGGTAGAAATCGAAATATATAAGTATATAGTGAAATTTTGCATGCTTTATACTGATCCAGTGAAGAACACTTAAAAATAATGATTGGGTAACTTGCAATGAAATCACCACCACAACAAACTAAAATTATGTTATCAATACAGTTTTCTTTTCTCATATATAATAATGCTAAGATGCTCTCATTTAACTAAATGTGGGTAAAAATTATTACTTAAAAATCATTTTACATAATTGTTAAAAGAGCAATATTTATATAATGTAATGTGTAGAGGGCTGTTATTACCTAAATTGCCCAAGCCGGACAGACTAAAAATACTTATTTAAATAATAACTAGTTTTTGTGGATTTTATTGTGTATATTAATTTATTTTATATTCCCGACGTTTCGAGCACTTACCAATGGTCGGGGGGGGGCTGAGGTGTTTGATGTCCCAATGACATGTATACAACTGCAAGACTATATTTCTTTGAAAATAAACTCCAACATTTGGTATCTCATCAGGTTATTTCCTGGATACCCTCATCGGGGTCGATCAGCTGGTGATCTTCTGGTCTACCTGACCCATAGATGGGCAGAGGCAGTAGAGTCCAAGGGGGAGGCGTTGGCCGTTAGTTTGGACATAGCGAAGGCTTTCGATCGGGTTTGGAACAAAGCGCTTCTTTCGAAGCTGCCTTCCTATGGGCTTCCCCAGAAATTGTGCAATTGGATCACCAGTTTTCTTGCAGATCGGAGCATCAAGGTCGTTGTAGACGGTGCATGCTCCGACTACAAGCCTATTAACGCTGGTGTTCCACAAGGCTGTGTGCTATCACCAACGCTGGTTCTTCTGCATATCAATGATATGTTGCTAACTGGTAACATTCATTGCTATGCGGATGACAGCACTGGTGATGCTCTATACACCGGCCGTGCCAATATTTCTCGGGAAAACGTCGCCGAGTACCGGAACAAACTTGTGTCTGAAGTCGAGTCTTTGCTGAACAAAGTCTCGGATTGGGGGCGACTAAATTTAGTCCAGTTTAATCCTCAGAAGACACAAGTTTGCGCGTTTACCGCTAAAAAGAACCCCTTTGTCGTATCTCCTCAGTTTCAAGGCACTCCCCTTCTTGCCTCAGCCAGTATCTGAATCCTCGGAGTCGACATATCGAGTGACGTGCAGTTTCGTGGTCACTTGGAAGAGAAGGCCAAATTGGCCTCTAAAAAGCTTGGCGTGCTCAGCAGAGCGGGACAGTATTTCATGCCGGCACACCGCCTGCAACTTTACAAGGTGCAGGTTCGGCCTCACATGGAATACTGTTCCCATTTCTGGGCAGGGGCTCCCCAGTGCCAGCTCCTTCCACTTGACCGCATCCAGCGCAGAGCGGCTTGAATCGTCGACGACCGAGTCCTTTCCGATCGGCTCGATTCATTGGCACTGCGAAGAGATGTTGCATCCCTTTGCATTTTCTTTCGCATCTACTATCTAGTGCTCTGAGGAATTGTTCGGATTAATCCCAGCCGCCAAATTTCACGAATGCACATCGCGGCAGAACTCCCGATACCATCCACACCATCTGGATGATTGGCGGTCCACCACTGTGAGATTTAGATGTTTCCTGTCTTCCTCGCACGACTTCTTGTGAAATCGATTACCATCAGCGATTTTTCCGGACCGATACGACTTAGGGACCTTCAAGAAAAGAGCGTACTCCTTTTAAAAGGCCGGCAACGCATCTGCGTTTCCCTCCCTGGTGTTGCAGCTGTTCATGGGCGCCGGTAGTCACTTACCATCAGGTGAGCCGCATGCTCGTTTGCCCCCTCTCCTATATAAAAAAAAAAAGAAAAAATTCCTTAATACGAGAATAAAAACTTTGCTTACATATCAATTTTTACATACATTTAGTTTGAATGCTTACCAAATATACACTATATGCACTACGTTCATCAAAACAAAAGAAATCGGATCGGGATTTTGGCAGAAAGAACCAGAAGTTTGTTGTCCTGAGAAGGTCTCATAAGTCAATAGCCGTCGAAGTTGCACAGCGATGCGGTACCCCATATCGATGAGGGCCGCTTATATTGGCCGGGTCTCTGAGTGTTGTAGGCGGAGTTTATTGCATCATTGGCCCTTCCGGCTCTAAGACTGTCATCATCTTCAAGTAGAAAATGCGATTCTATGCACTGCAAAGGTCGAAAAGTCGATAGTGCGGCTGGCCCATCCGAGTTTAGAAAATCATTGACGAGGCTATTCGTCTTATCCTCTAAAGCAGCTGCCGCAGATGGAAAACCGGGTACTGGAGAATGACTTATCAGGTCCTCCTCCAATCCCATAACGAGTCTAGGCGGTGGACACGAGAGTTGTTCGTCACCCTCTACGTACAGCGCGTGCAGTGTTTCTACGTGTCCCCGTTGGAGAATCCCAGCTCTGCTTTCCCAACGCGAAGGATCCTGTACGAGCTACCGCCAGTTCATAATTGCGGTAATGTGCGAAAACATTCAGTAAATTAAAGCCGTTCATAAGGCACTCTGCTAAAAATAGGCCTCCGCCAAGAATGCTACAAAACACTCGGCTATCTGCAATCTACATCTATAGACCTGCACGTCTTACTGAGTCGCCACATCCCCTAAACTAGATAAGTGGAGTACATATTATATTATATCGATGCGTTTTTCGGTACGGCTGCTAACTCGAGTCTTTCATAACGGCTGTTCTTTGAATATGGTCAAAAATTTTGTTCAACTGACTTTAATATAAATAAAATGAGAACATCATGAATGTAGTCGAAGTCAATTAAATACGCATTATTAAGGATAAGGGCTAGTTCCCACTTGTCGGATGTCAGGCATCGTATTTTAATCGGGTGTCGGCGCCCCTGTTCATACTAGTCTGATCCGATTGAAGCTGGAGCCATTTTTGTTTTTTGGCAGTCTATGCGAGGCGATTATGTATGATGGACGTAGAAAAAGCTTTTGTTGTGATGTATTATTTTAGAAGAAAACAAAGAAAAAAGCCAAGAAAGGATTTTTTTTGTTCCAAAGAACACCTTTTTCCTAAACCTGTGTGGTCAATATCTTTTTCCATAATTACGAAAAACCAAAGCTCCGTGCAATATATCGGGTACAATAAAAACGCAACAACTGCGTGTGCGCCGCGATATAGAGCCGGGCCCAACATCCGACATAATGTGAATAGCGCCATACTCAAGCAAACGAGATTCGATACGATTTTTTTACGGGCGTAGAGGGCTATCAAAACACCTGACATATCTTGTCGGCGCCGACAAAAATACGGTATCTGATAAGTGTGAACAGCTTCATATAAAATGTTCTGCTACTAGAGCAGCCGATATTCTGTCGAGCCCGACACCCGACAAGTTGTCACGGACTCTGACTCAAAAACTACTGGTGAGATCTTGATCAAATTTATATGGGACCACATGAGATTTCAAATAAAAAAAGATTCATCAAAATCTGTACATCTAGAAAAAAGTTCTGAGGTATCACACATAAAAATACAGTCGGATTGAGTACCTCCTTATTTTTTGAAGTCGTTTAAAACAATAGATTTGATTAGGTAAAATTTAGCGAGTTCAAGTTTTTCTACTTATTCAATTACAATTGTTTTAACTTATTGATTTTCATTCAATAAATCGGATACACCCCAAACACAAAATAGACCACCCATTTTGTGATTTGTGTTACCCGGAGAATGTTAACCAAACGGGGAGAAATCCGGGAACCCCATGGCAATTATTTACGTAGAACGCAATATGTAATATAATAAATATAAATTTTGCTTATTTTCTTGATAATAATAATAAGATACCTATGTTTAAAAATACTCTTGATAAGTAATACACGTTTGCAAAATAAAGCGTTTATTTATATAAGCGAATATCTAACATAAAATTGTTGGATTGGGTATCTTTTTACATTTTTTGCATATATTATTAGGTACTTAATAAACATTATAATACAAAGTCTTATTTTCTTTGGTTCGATTTTTTATAAATATAAACTAAGGCTTATAAATCCAACTAAGATTACGACGTTATTAAAAAATTGTCCATTAGCTCCAGAGCCATAGTTGCAGAGAGAAGTAGTACAGCAGGAGGTGCATGCGTAAAGCTTCGTCCTCTCTCCGATGACGATGCAACCGGGTTCGCAATGCTTCGTACAATTACGTTCAAGAGCCCACATTTTCAAAGCAGTCGTGGCATTTTCGTTCGAAGTCGTAAAAGAGAATCTTTTTACCTGAATGCAAAAAATATATTATTAGTTGATAAATATTTATTGTTCGTTTTAAATAGGTATCTTTAACGTATTTGAAACCAACAAAAGGCCATCTTTATTAATTATTTAATTTAAAACAAGAAATTATAGTGGTGTTGTGTGAAAAATGTAAGATATTTTTTAACAACACTGACATTTGTGATTAGTTGGGTTTAGTCAAGAATACCTACTCGTGCAAACTCCAAAATTATAAGTAACTATGTACCTACCTAATCAGAAATTAATAAAGTTATCTTCTCAAACATACATATTTTTAAACAGATTAAACATTAAAATAAATAATTGAAAAACCTTCACCATGCACATCCGCCGGTCGTTGTGGCACTTATGGATAAGCGCAGAGTTGTTGTGCCGCAAGTCTGCACATTTATCCTCGGGAACCTCTGCCAGACATTTGTAACACCACAATTCATTATTGGGCCGAGCCGCTGCTGAAGTTACGTGGACGCTGTCACGAAGTAAATCACTCTGACCCTCTACAAAAATAATCGTGAATAAAGTTGTTGCAAGGACATGGTGGCGTATATCGAAATATATGTCATTTCCCCTACGTCCCCCTTGTATTTAGTAAACCAATTGCTTGACTACAATCCCACCTGTTGGTAAGTTGTGATGTAGTAATAGTGTGTGTAGTACGTTCTTATTTCGTTTTTGTTCCGAACAAAATGTTATACAAGGAACCGTCCCAAACGTTTTAAAAACGTTATTTTTAATAACGTTTCCGAGCCCTGGTACTAGGTTTAGAATTTAGACTATGACATCACAAATCGTGGGGGCTCGCGAGAGTTCGTGGCGCCCCCTTGACACTGACGCTTCGAGCGATGGCAGGAGCCGGAGTCGACTCTCCTCAAAGCCACCACTGATTATACGTCCACAATATAGATTTAAGAAGCTATGTAAGAATTATTTAGGTTAGGTTTACATTTATAAATAAAAGCAATATTTGAAAAAAAAATGCATAAAACAAACTACTAATAATTTATTAATAAAAATACATATCAACATATTTTCGTTGACTGTACCTGCTGCCATAGACGGATTTGATGTTTACGAAAACAAAGAATATTCATGCGTGCTATTTAAGTGAATCATTCTAATGGATGATGCAATAGAATGTTTTATGATATGATTAGTGGTAATAAAACACTGGTTTGACATACCTTGTAGGAATAATGACAGCGAGAGTACCATTAGACAGCGCATGATGTTTGCAATGTACAGAGCGCATGTTCTAGCATCTGTATCGATTTGATCTCGCTGCGACCTGTTGCTTATCCCGGCTGGTCCCGCCCACGGCTCCCTGTCCCCCCATCCTCTACCTCTCATTCTCCAAGGTTCTCCTCAGTAGTTTAATCGGGAAAACAATCTGAACTTTCCGAATTCTCAGGAAAATTAAAAAGTTTAGCCCTTGTCGTTGTTGTATCTGTCTTCTGTTTCATTAATGTAGAGCTTTGTTCTGAGACTGCTGGTAATGTACATAATTTATAGTAAATAACGTACTTACTAAATTAGATGCCGGTAGAGAATTCTTTAAGAATATTTCGGTTGATCGATTTCGATTAAGTAGATTTTTTTAATTAAAAAAAAAATACTAGTAACGCTAGATATGTACGTTACTAATACTCCCTCTAACCTCCCCAAACAAGCCTAAAAATAATAACAATGGCTAAAAGTGAAATGGTAAACTTTGACATTTAATAATTGTCCACATATTGATATGGTCGGGCACTTTATAATATGATCAAGTCTACGCTCTGGCCACGACATGTATCATAACGTATGGTGGCGGCGCGGCGTAAGAGAATCTATGTGCCGTAGGAGGCCATAACGGGAAACGCCAAAAAATCTTACGGTTTTCGATAGATGGCATTATAACCATATCGTTGACGCTAGACGTAAGATTATATCCTGGCCCTGAGCCAGCGAGAGTACGACACAAAAATCTGGTCATCTAGTGTTGCGATTATGACAAACCTTTCCTACAAGAAGCGATGCCGATTATGCTTACTTATTACTTAAGACTGTTACTTATTAAAATATAACAACGGATAAATAGGTAAATAAATAAATATGAGTAAATATGATAACTAAATTAAAAAATGTTGATAAAACGCTCTAATTGGAAAAGTACAACAAAGAAATGAGTTTTTATTTAGATTATAAAAAACTGAAACAGATGATGAGCAGCAGTATCTTCCTGATAACACAAAATAACAAAAAAAAACTGTGGTAACCTCCCACCCGCTAAGCGTGGCACCTATCCCCTCTGTGAGGCAATTTATGGGGAGGCCTATCTTCAGCGGTGGACTATGATAGGCTGTAATGAAGATGATGGTATTGGCAATATTGTTGTTATTCGTTAAATTGATTGTTCACATGTAATAGACATGGATGTTAGATTTAGATTCTACTTTAAAATATTGTAAGAAAATGTGTAACAAATAATTAATAAAAGAAAGGCCGTCACTGTTTCTTTACGACTATTTTATTTCTGTCCTATTGAGTGCTTAATCTATTAAATACTTAGAGTATTTATAAGCAAGCTTATTGCTTATTTATGTCCTAAAAATAAATATCATATTTAATAAACATACCTATTTATTTAACTTTTATTAAACCTTTATTAATTTACTTCATTCATCAACTAGTCCTCCCCGTTGTATAGTGGTGTTGAAAAGAACGTTGAGTTTCTCAGAGACTTATATTTGCGCCATTTATCCAGTTCAGTCGTCTCTGATGCCATCCTGGCCACAAACGACGAGGTACACCTGACAAGAGAGACTGCTAAGGTGTCTACGCATGTGGCACCCCTCTTCTCATGGGACCATAGTAACACCGTCGGGTGAAATAGAAATAGAAACCCCACCGTCTAGTAATGTACCGAGATTATTTGCACTTGATGATTAAGCGTGCAACCTGTACCTAGATTCCTTAGAAAATCTAGAATCTTGGTCATAAAACAAACATTTCTACACATTCCATACCTATGGAATATCTCATTATTTCTGTCGGTGAATATTCTGTAGAATATACTCGCCAGGGAAGAATGTTTGCCATGTCTGCATATTCACTTTATTAGGCTTAAGGCTTTAACTAGCCTGAATGACCTTGACGAAACGGCGATCGCAGAGATTTTAGCCGATGTCAATACCGTCTAGCAACTACGTTCTGTATTACTTATAAAAATGCAAAGATTAATAGACTGCAGAGATGACAATTATATAAGTGACATACTGCCTGTTATGCTTGCGCATCACTGAGAATTATGTCGCGGTTACGCATCTTCAATTACATTGCACGGTGTGGGGCTGTAGCTTTGTCCGGTAGGCATCACGAGCTATCAAGTGTTGTACGTAAGAATTTTTATTATATATGTTAAATCGTATTTATTTGTGTCGTATTAAATATATGTCGTCAAAGCGTTCGCTGTAAATTTTCCCGGGTTTGATCCCTGACAGCACGAATGAAATTTGTAATTGCAATTTTCGTCAACACGCATTGGGGAAGCACGGCGGGCATTTCGTTGCCCTAAAACCCTCTCAGAAATAAAAAAAGAGTCCTACGCCCAGTAGAGGGACTTGTATAGCCTATTACTTTACTTTGTAGCAATATTTATATTCGTTTCAGATATAGAAGGGTACCTTATGCTGACAAAAATATCATGTGGAGGCGACGAAAACGTAAAACATCTTTGTACCTAGATAAAACGTTCGAAAGATTGTCAGTCATGTCATACGCCACATTTTCTATAGAGCGTAGAACATTGCAGATAGAGCAAAATAAAAAATAATCCAATATATTATGGGAACTGTTTTAATAAACAGTTCCCATAATATATTGGATTATAAATGTATATATTATTAATATAATATATACATTTATAGGTATTTATAATAAAAATAATGAACAAGCTGCAAGGTTCAACTAATAATGTTTTTTGTAAACACAATCGTAAAATTCCTGTTTTAATTTTTACCAATGGTTAATTGATGAAACGTAGTCAAGATCACTTCATATAAAATATATTTAATTAAAATTGACACGTGACCTATTTGGCCTTCTACTTACAACTCGGCGGAAATTTGAAAAGAAATTTTGTCTTTTCACACAAGTATTGTTTACAACTGGCGTGGTTTCGAAAAGCATGATTAAGTGTCAGCGGTATATAATCAATTAAATACTGAACTTTTTGAAAATTTATTTTTTTGTTTATTTTTGTTACATCTTCTTAAAAACTGACGCCATCTCACTATTTTATTATTTGTTTTTTTTGTACGCATAAGGATAAGTTAGACTAAGTTAGATTAACTTGGATAAGTTTATATTTTTTTTAATTTTATCACAAAATTTCCGCAATAAATTATTACCTTTTCTACAGTGATTCTCTCCTCTTAGTTTCGGCGTGACTGTAGGATGTTATAGTGAGTCACCGTCAGTTACTAAGCGGCCATAAATCATTATATGTATTTATTTATTTATTTATTTATTTATTTATTCTTTATTGCATTCCGTAATTTAAAAGAATACAAAGGGCGGACTTAATGCCTTGTGGCATTCTACCAGTCAACCCATGTATGTATAGACATACATATATACATTTTTTGATTTTAATATTTATGTTTTTGAATTTTGATTGATTTTTTGAGACCTGGTAAAATTATTTTTTTCCATACCAATTGATGGGCCTGAGTATAATGCCAGTTATGCTGTTTGGCTGAAGTTATTTTATATTTTATGCTCAATTGCAGACAAAACAATATTGATTGCGCATTTCTAAAACAAAATTTTACCTCTTCTCCTTCTAATAATAGCTCTTGCATCTAACACGGCGGAATAGTTATTATTATCTATAAGCCCATTTGCGAAAACAGTTTTTGTTAACAGTTATGAGTGTAACATTTTATCAGCTGCTTTGTTTATAGTGCCTTGAGCAACACTTTGCCGGTTTCTGTACAGAAAATGATGCTGGCTTTGCCAATACGGATGGCCGCTACCATTGAATATAATACCCGCTATGTTACACTTATTTACATAGAAACTTTAATTATCATTTGCATAAAATTCTAAATAGCACTTTTTACACAAGAAAGTAAACTTTTAGATCAGTCCATTTTGTTTTTCACTAATTAAGTAAAAAGTAAAACAAACCAATAGGGCCGGGAATTAAAATTTCTTGGAACTTTTTATAGAAAAGCATGACCTTATCATAATATAAAAGTCAATCATTTAGCCATGTGATAAAACTTTTAAGTGTGCCAGTCAAACATTAAAGATGATATGTCATTATACTGGAAATAGTCTTTTAAATATTTTGTAGTACAATTGATAATCTTCAGTATGATTGACCGTGTATATGACTTTTATAAGTCTATGTTATTTTTGATGAAAATTATTATTGCAGATAAAAGCCCTTTCACATTTATTTTAGTCTCGAATTAAATTAATCAAAATGAAAATAATAACATTGGCTCTTTATAACTAATCTTTAAATGTAAAACACTGACTTGAAGTTATATAATTATTAGCATTTTTTTAATTCATTGAACTTTTTTAAGATTTTGTTGAAACTCTACTGGTAAAACAAAACAAATATATATAAAAAATATATATTATAGTTCTTGATGAAATTAATGTATGCGCGTTACATCGCATCCCATCAAGAATTTCTAATGTAATTCTTGGTGTCAAGCTAAGACGTGATAATAACTGTAAACAATAGAATAACAAAATAATGAAAACATTTACATTTACATACAAAACATTTACAAAAATACTTGCTTTATAACCTAATAAATATTATTTGACCGTAATAAAATAAAACAAGGTAGTCTTGGGCATAAAAGTAAAAATAAATATTTTCGATTATTTTTGCAATATCTAACAGCCGGATCAGCGGGCGATTCTGATCCATCTATAGATGCTAAATTTCAGCAAGCACTGTCAAATTCAATAGGAGTGACAGAAAAACGGTTCTTGATACAGAAAGGTAAATAAATTATTTAACCTATAAAGTAAAATCACTTTATTACAAATCAAAATAGCCCAATAGCTTTATTAACATGAGACATAATTGTACGAGTGCTTACAATACTTCGATTACGTATCAAAATGTAGATGCGTTGTCACCCGTGAGGACTAAGATGTAATGCCTCGTTTCCAGTAAAAAGGTTCTCCGGTTCTCTACACTCACCATACGAAACACA